AAATCGGCCGCCCCAGACCTCTACCTCTGGTGGTCGACATGCCAGTCCGGTTCTGATCATCGTCTTCTTCCTGTGTAGCCTGGGAAGAACGCATCCACGCACACACAAATCCCTTCCTGACGGTCGACTCTGCTCTCTCTCGCTCTATCTGTCATCTGCTTCAAGACACGGAGAGAGTGTGCTTCGCAGACACCTGCTTGAGAACCTCATAGTATCAAGCAGTCAGACTTGCTAATGTCAACACAGAAGTCTCCAGTACCGCTGAGTGGCCATAGATCCCTTCTTGCTCAGCGGCGTCGTCCAGGCCGACCTCGTGGGCAGCGCTGATTACTCGTGCTGTCCGCTCTCGCTTTGCAGCTGAGAGCTCTTCACCGCTTTTTTTCTACTCCGAGAGCCAGGGACTTGAAAGCGTTGCCCGCTGGCCCAAATCGCCGTCTCACTCACCGGCCAGGATTAGCTCGAACTGGGAGGCTTCAACATCTGGAGCTTGGCCAACATAGCTTCGACCGCCGTGGAATTGGTCAACGAGATAAAACCCGGCTGGCATGCAGCCCCCATCCTTGGCCAAAGTGAAGATAGGCTCCTGCTGAGGTGGTGTCGGCCATGTGCTTAGCATCTTGCATGTGCCCATAGGGCAGGAGCTGTCTTGTACAAGCTTGAAAGGGCATGCTTCTTGCTGAGAACGGAAAGCCCGAAGCCAACCTCCCACGCGCAAATGATTCACAGGTGTGCATGCAAGCCAGTGGTCATCCCACTTTGAGCTCTTTGAGCGGAGCTGAAGCGTATATGTGTCGGCCAGCTGCTGTCCCTTGATGTACACGGGCTGCAGGGTAACTACGGTGGCCAGGGACTTCGGACCGGGCATCGCCCAGCCCTGAGAGTCCAACATCAGGAACTTCTCATTGCCAGTCCACTTCACCAAAACGCTGGCACCAGCCAGCTCCCCCAGAGCATCATCACCTGCGGCTAGAGGCGAGACAAATTCCCATGCTCTCATCTGAATCTGAAGCTAGAAGTCCAATATGTCTTCCGCCTGCAAGCAGTGACTTGGAGCAAGCGTCGCCGTCTGGGAGGTGATTCCCGTTCCAAGAAGCAGCCTCGGGATACCTTCAGCATGTGGCAGTTTACTCTGACTTCGCTCCGGGTACAGCAAGTTAGGGACTGCAAGCCTATGTACGGCAACAAACATCTACAATGAGGGCCCTGGCATCGCCGCGTACAGCCGGAGGAAAGCAGGTCACATCCCTTGTGCTGTTGCAATTGAGGTGCAAACGAAGGAAGGCCCATCGGAGCTCCTTCAAGCCGAGAGCGTAGAAAGCTTGCTCCTGAGATGCAAAAGGGACGAAACCATCTCCAGCCAATGTGTGTCCGTGTCTGTGCGTGTTTTCCCTCCCTCTCGTCACTTCCAAAGCTTGCCGCTGAGCTTCGGGAGCTACTAAGGTGCCAACGACACCAACCACAGCATAGATCGCCTGCATCACCGGAAACTCTCCGGGCAGCTTTGCAAACTGATATCCGTCAACTGTTTCAGGGCAAAAACTCGCGATTTCCCGGAACATGATGGATGGCCAAGGGTCGAAAAGTCGAAAAAGCCAGCTGGGGAGGTCGACCGAGTGTATGAAACAGCTCTGAACAACCACCGGGGAGCCCAAAATCACCTGTCTCGTAGAAGGATTCGTTTCTGTCTCTGTCGGCTCCCGTGCTCAACATGGATCGCCCTTCCCCAAGCCTACCACTGCAGACCAAGCTGCGAGCCGCACCAGGTTCAAGGTTCGCACCATTGTTTCATGCATGGTGACTGCAACCTTGGCCGCCTTCTCCTCCTCTTCCGCAGATCCCAGGTTCACTCCCACGCGCATCATTGCGGGATCCTTGCTGGGACGCATGGTTGCCATTGGCCTGTCTGGGCCGAAATCTATTTCGCTGTCAGCGACTGGCTGTAACATGGGCGCTGTGCATGCAAAGCTGTGGCAGCATGTAGTAGTTGCTGCGGGATGCAGAAGTTGTCTCAGCTACCAGTACTAGTCGTTCGCTCTGCTGAGTCTTGAGCCGTTCTGGATTCGACAAGGAACGCGTGGGCAAGTCTTGTTGTGGCTGGAACAAACGTGTTTGCAAACACCACTTGCTGAGGTCAAGGCCGGATGTTCATGTCCAATTCGCTCTCAGCCCTGGGCTTTTCCGGCTGCCTTACGCCGCATGGGTGTCTCTGCATGCACATGCTGGTCATGGTGCTGGGTGGTGCTGCCGCCTCTGCCGTTTTGGCTGTTTGGTGGAACCTTACGGAGCCCAGGCACAAGATGCTGTTGCCGGTCACCGCGGCCCCAAAGTTCAGGTCGTAGTACATGCCCATTTGGTCCAAAAGCATCGCCTAAGATCGGAATGGCGATCTCGCACCTTTTCCCGAGGCTCGTCAGGCTTCAATACTTTAAAGCTTTGGACCGACGACTGGTGTGCCAAGGAGGCAGCACTTATGCCGATCCCCGAGGCTAGAAACTGCTGCCCCAAAAGAACTATGTTCCCAAGCACAGTGACGAAGAAACCTCTGCCTCTTCCTTTACTGTCACGAAGTCAAGAAAGGGTTGAACCAACCCAAGGCTGCACTCCCTGCTTGCCGGGTGGCCCATGAAACAAGAGCTTTGGGATTCTGAACGGCATCGTCCTCCGGGCAGCTACCGCAGCTTGCCGTCTCCTGAAGGCGAAGTAACAATCCATTCGACAAACGCCGTACTGCAGTTGCACGACCCCGGCAAGGGTACTTGCTTAGGGCATGCTCTGCCTAAGACTAAGGACTCTCTCTCGACACCAGCCTGCGCCATTTGCGTGCCTGGGTGATGTCTGCACCACTTAGCATGCGTCTGAGTTATCTGCATTCCTCTTGTCAGACTTTCCGGAATGAGTGCTGATCAGCTACAGAAGTCCGTGTCGCCTTAGCTTGCTGCATTTCCGATGTCAGCTTAGGAAACATGTCGATGACAAATCTTTGTAATCCAAATTCAGACTGGTGGCCATCGCCCTCAAGGCCTTGGCACTCACGCTTGAACGTGCTTGAACCGAGAGCTATCCCTGGAAAGCTCAGGCTGAGGCAGTCATATGTTTTTAAACCTGAGATTCTGGCAGCAGGACAGGGCAAGCACGCAGCTACATGAGGCGGGGAAGACATAGCCCATCTTTTCTCTGGCATTGCTCATCTCGTAAGTTGCATGCCACGGAGCTTGCGAGAAGCTGACTAGTGCGAAAAAGCGCTGTCTCATCCGGCATGACCTGATCACGCAGTCTTCCTCACAAGTCTTGGTACTCACTAGCGTCATCCACCGTCTTGCAGACTGCTTAGGACTTCTCCCTGCCTGACCCATCGCCTCCGCAAGAGGTGTGCTCTCATGCTGCAGCAGTATCCCCTGGCCAAAGTGTCTATCAAGAAATCCTCCCAGCTGGCTGTGCCTGCTTTGACATGCCGCGCCTGCGGCTGCAACTCTTCAACCGGTTCTCCATTTTGCTCTGCGACTTCATAACTGCGACCGCAGACCTCAAAGCAGAAAGCCGCAACAAAAAGACAACTTTACAACTCACCGTTCTGGGCCTCTGATGGACCCAGCCAGCCAGGGGCCTCAGGAGATCAACATCGAACAATCGAAGTCTGGGCAACACGTAGGACGCAAAGGAACAGGAACTTGGCAGTGCCTTCGCCGGGTCAATTTCAGTTGCTCTCTGCGTTGTAGAGAACTTTGCCAGTAACCTGCCACGTCGCTTCATCTTCAGCCGAGTTCTGTATTGTCATGCTGATGCTCTTGTCCTGCTGAGGCCGTGCCTGGTCTGTAGAGCATCCAGCTCTGAACGCAGGAAAATCTGGGGCGAACGAGCAGGGCACAAAAAGCACGGAGGGACTCCGAAACCTCTCGCGCCTCGAAGCTTCGAGCATCCTCGGCCATGGCAGTGAAGTCACAGACGGTTCTGCTTTCCTCGACGGGATATGCCACTAGAGAGCCTCTCTACAAGTAGGGCTTAACTACGGGGCGTAGTTAATTATAGGGCCTCCTAGGCGAGGCTGCGGGGAAAACTGAACTTGGCCATTTGGAGGTGCATGCTCCGGCGGTCTTGAATTTCGACAAGCTTGAGGAGGAGCCAAAACCGGCGACGCGGGCAGATTCACTTCATGGACCGCTGGACCTGGCCGGCCGATTCTGCCGTCCCCGTCGCTTTTTCCGGTTGACCAAACATCGAGAGGCCTGCAGATAATCTTCATACTCTGCTCTTGCTCTAGCAGCTAGCAGCTAGCAGCCTCCGCTAGAACCTTACCTAAATTTGTTCTTCACTGCTGTGCGGCGTCGCCGTCACACGCAATCTCTATTCCCAACACTGCTGCCTGTCTTGCTCGCAGCAAGAAAAATGTTTTCCAGTCGGTTGGTTCAACAGACCCTCCAGAATTCCACGCAATCCAGCCTGCGGTCACCTGCGAATCTGCAAGAAGGTTTATCGTCTTACCATGTCGATTACCGATGCATGGCATTGCCGGGCATCAGAATCAGCCGCAGTACCCTTTGGCCACTGAGGGGACATTGATTGCAGCCTCGCACGGCGCGTTGCTGCCCGTGCTCGGGGCAGCCGGGCGACGAATAAGAATTACAGCAAAAACACAAGTTGAAAACACTAAATCCAGGCTACCCTGACCGATCCTGAATGATCCTGACCACGGCGTGCCAATTTCTTATTGTGCTCTTCTTGAGTTCCTTCGCTTGTTTTCGTCGTTCAAAAAGAGAAACTTGATCAAGAAAACGATTGGATTTGGTATTCCAAAAGGGAAATGCTCGGAAAGACGCGCGCAGGATCTGAGCCCGCAAACTTTGTCAACCCACCTCAATGTCTTATTGTGGTTCTATGGCAAGCCCTATTATTTCAGCGTCAATTTCTCATTTTATCGGGATTTTTCTATGACAACGCCTCATTAAGCCTTTATTAAGACCTTACAGAGCTTCTAGAGACAACCCAGCCTTCACTGTCCGTGTTTACGTGTGCTTGCGGATGACGGCAGTGACTTTTTTCTTCCTGGAGCACTGCGTGAGCATCGCCCGTCCGGGAGCCTCGCCGAGAAGTCTGCGTTGCATGGAAGCAGGCGTGACGTGGCTCTGACCTGGACGCTCGTCCCGGCGGTCGCGGGGCCGGCGGCGCTTCTTGGGCCGGGACTCCAAGCTCCCGTCTCCTCCAGAACTTTAAGTTCAAAGACACAAAAACAGAACTTGTCATAGAGACTTAAAGCAAGCGAAGCCCCCGACTCACGATCTGCTCGGCTCGGTCCATCACGGCCTGCAGGGCCTCGGTCTGTCGCCTTGGACAGAATACGCTAACAGCTGACTAAGCGTCACAAACACCATTCTCTTCCGCAAATTATTCCCGGTCCTGCACAGCGACCTTGCCATTCCACTCGCCGATGCAAGGAACGCGGGAGCTGCTTCTAAATGAGACCTCCAGACATGGCTTCAAGGATTGCGCAGGTGCGACCCTGCTATGGCCGGGATTCTGGCGGCTGCACCACCCAGAGAGGTGCCTCGCCTTCCCAGGTGCCGGCTGGCCTGAATTCCGCACCAACAGCTCAATCTTGCTATGTGGATCTGCACAATGTCGAGGGTGTTGCCGCGGCCACTGTTCTTGTGCGCGCTGCACTGCGGCCCGGAGCGTCGCAAAGCATGGTGTGGCCGGGCCCTGCTCAATCGGATTCAAGCCGCTTTCACGTGAAGATTTCCCGAAGCTTAACCCCCATCCTTGAAGCCCTGTGCCACCAGATATCGCCTCTGGCTGTCCCGAAAGCATTGCTGGTGCAAGCAGCAAAGCCGTTGCAAGACAGAGAACAGGGTGCACTTTTCGCAGGGCTGATCTCATTGTAAAGCTGCTTCTAGCCGCTCGAACGACTGGAGTCTCCCAGCATCTCCGCTGAGCCAGTCCTGGCGCGACGGGGGTCGTGTCAACCAATCACAACTGCAGCCAGGGTGCAGCTCTAGCGTAGTTTCACTGCATGGGTGGCCTCATAATTCGGCTGCGATGACGCATCTACCGGCTTCAGAAGAGCCAGTGCTTCCCTCAAATCTGACGGGAGCGGGGAAATCAGCTCCTGCCGAGATGCAAAGGGTAAAGGGCATATGCAACAAGCAGCATGAACTGCATGAACTCTGAAATGCACGAGACTTCGCAAGCAGCCATGTCAATGTGATTGTCTGGGTGCTAATGCAAGGCGACTGGAAAGGTCCAGTCGAACTTGGGTACGCTCTGCACAGCTTTGTTTTCAGGTGGACTGCAATGCACGAAGCCCTGAATCCCTTCAGCCAAGCTTCAAGCACAGCTGCACCCTCCACATCCCTCCATCATCCACTGGGAAGATTCCGTTCGTTTCATTGCTTCTGTTTGTTGCCAGCTGCTGTCCAATCTGCCCGCACTAACGGAGGATGTTGCGAGTTGTCAGCTTGTAGATTGTATAGAGAACACCAATTGAAAGCCCGGAGATGCGATCAGAAAAACGGGAGCATCATGTCCTGCACCGGGCCGTAGCCGGAGGATTCAAGATCTTCCTCGCTGGGCACGTCCCGGAACCTGAAGCGCAAAGCCAGGCCGGCAGGCCCGTAAAGCGGTAAAGCCATCAGCATGAATTGAACCAGGCAGCGCCAAGCGGTAGGTGTGAAGGAAATTCCGAGGGCACCAGGTCTTGTCTTCGTTCAGCCTGTCCTCTGCGTACTTGGCATCCTCGGGGTCTCCGCGATTCGCAGCACGTCTCACAACTTCCATCGGATGCCGAGTATCAGTTATCAACGGGTGGCCGATAGATTGCATGTGCACACCTAGGGTCTCAGAACGCCCAACTTCAGACACCGGGCGCAGCCCAAGAGACGCGAAAACCTGTTGTAGCTGGGGAGCGTATCTGGTGAGTACGTCCGGTGTGGAGCTTCAATGCCACAAGGCTATAGCGCTCCTCAAAACAACACAGGAAATGACATGATGGCACCGCAGGGCGAACCGGCACACGTGTCCTCTGGCGCACCAGGTCGCTCCAGGTGTGCCAAAGTAAGAAGCTCCTCAAAAAGCTCTTTTCAAGTCTCTTTGTCCGCCTGCCTGCAATCGCTGCCGCTACACACTACTGGGTAAAGCAAAGCAGCCGTGAACGAGGGCTTGCCGTTGCTGCCGACAGTGCAGTGTGTAGAGATGGTTCTTCGCGAATTCGGCGCCTTCCGTTTCTCAACTCCTTGGAGAGGTGAGTGCCAAAACACCTCTGGAACACCCCACACAAGCACCGAGAAGGCGCACTTCCCATTGCGGCGACTTTTGTGCGTCTGGCGCGGTACTGGGATCTGTCACGTATCGTCAGACGGATCAAAATACTGATTATGACTCCTCGGTTTTGGCACAGGTCTTTTGTTGACCTCCTTGATAACTCCCACTCCAACTGTTCGACCGTGATCGCGGATCGCGAACCGGCCGAGCGGAGGGTAGGCACTGAATGTCTCCACACAAACAAGTGCTCGAGGGCGCATCTTCACCGTGACAACATCCCCAGTCTTGGCACTGGTCGGGTTGTTCTCGGCATCCTTGCCCGTCTTCCTGTCTACTTTGCTCAGTAGCTCCTCGAACTCGCAAGGAACCTGCGCGGTGTGCACGGCGATTGCAGGGCAGTATCCTGCGCGAATCACCCCAGGATGGTTGAGGACAACCACCTGTGCCAGGAAGGTTTCTGCATCAGCAGCTGGATCTGTACTGCCTGAGATAACCATGCCCCTTCGGATGTCCGAGGGCCGCAGCTGTTCAGACTCGTCACCGGAACCCAGACCTACGCTCACAATATCGCCTTCCCTGGCGTCATTCACCGGTTCACCGGCTTTGTAAATCGATCGAACCTCTGAAACGAGGCCGCTGGGTGAGAAAATCACCTTGATTCCTATTCGAATTGAGCCCGTCTCTATGCGTCCTACAACCACGGTGCCAGCCTTAGGCTGGTCGTGGACTTTCAGCACAGGTAGTCTCAATGGCTTCTCCTCAGCTGCGTCCGCAGGATTCCCCGAAGCCGGGAGGAAACAGCAGATGCTTGCTAATATGTAATGTATGCCCCACAATCACATAATCAACAATCATCATCATGTTCTAAGCCGGGCCTCTGCAGGCCTGTTCATGCTGCCGAGGGCATCAAGCGACTCGATGGCAGTGTGACCGGCGTACCAAGGCATCTCGGCTGACTTGCTGACCAAATTCTCACCGGAGAGGCCTGCGACCGGAATCACTGGCACATCCTGGCAGTTTGGAAGGGCGATCTCGAGAATGCACGACTGTCGCCAACAACGCACAAAGCTCACGCAATGCCGTCCTTCTGCTTGTACCCCACATCTTTCAAGTAGGCTGTCACCGCCTTTTTGATCTCTTCGAATCTCGCAGCTTCGAACTGCACGGTAAAATCGTCCATCTTTGTGACCCAAACTAGGACATGCCTCAGCTAATGGGAGCCTCTGGCCGAGAGCGAGATTCTTAGGGAAGACACTCAAAACTGAGCCGAGCGTCTTGATGCCCATTGTGAAACAATCGAGAGCCAGCTCTCTGGCCCTTCCGCTTTCCACGGCCATCTCCCACTCGCCACTTGCAGCCTGTTGCAAAGTGTAATGGGGATTGATTTCGCATGCAAGTAGTCTGCAAACAGGTAGCTGACACCACCATCACTGCGGCATCAGCCAAAGACGTGATGCTGAGAAAATTGCTAACAAATTCCTGCGGCAGGTCTCACCCCGTGTCAGGTGCGCTATCTGCTATCTCTCACAAAGTCTCGAAACACTCGCAGACCAAGACTAGGTCCTCTCTGCCGGGGGTGTCGAAGGCGGAGTATACGCAAGATTGCGACTTGAACATCTGGAGGGTTGGCATCACGGTCGTGCCCTCCTCTCCTCCCAGGCCCAGGCAGGACTGCGCTAATGAGAGCACCGAAGGCGGAGTTGCGGCAGAGCTGCTCTCGCAAGGCAGGCGGTCAAGCATCCAACCATGCCGGTGGGATGGGCGTCCCAGCTCCCAGGCCAAATCCTGAAGCGAAAGGCGCACAAAGCCGCTCTCGCTGCGCGGCTTTCGCTCCCCGGGCCCGCCGCCGGGCCTGGCACTGCTGGTGCTCCTCCGCGGGAAAAGCACCGAGCTCGGAGCAGAGCCGCGCCAGCAGCGTGGTCTTCCCGCATCCCGTGGGCCCCACCAAAGCCAGGCTCACCTGCACAACAACGAAACGCGGCGATCTTGAAAGGATTTCAAAAGCCCCTCTCTCTCTCTCTCTCTCTCTCTAATCTCTCTTCTCTCTCTCCGTCTCTACCTGTGGCTTGCCGGCCATGGCGACCACGAGGCGAAGCGCACATCAGTGCGAGAGCCAAAACTGCGGCAAGATCCGGCACGCTGGCTTGTGCTGGAAGCCGGAGGCTTCAGAGCTGTAAGTTTGTAAGCACGCAAAGACTGGAAACATGCTAACTCATGTGACTGGCGGCTAGCCGCTCAAGCTGAGCGACGGATACGCTTGTGGATCTCCCGCATTGCATGGTCGACCCATCCATGGACAATGCAAACATACCTCGAATGCAGAGGCATGATGGTTGACAGGTACGTTTTATCCTTTCACCGTGATCTTGACTGTGCTTGACTGTGCATCGAGTAAAAACTCAGACTGAGTCCTCCGCTCCTTGTCCACGGAGTATTGACACCACTGCAGTCGCAACCAGTACGCACCTGAGACCACCCGACTCCCTCAATTCGAGCAGAGGCTGCCTCAAAAATCTGTGGCCACAGCCTACATAGCTCTTGGCGCAAACCAGCACGCCGCTGGTCTGTGCATCCAGTCGATGCCTCCGAACTTCCAGAAACCGAGGAAATAGATGAGAAAGACACACATGAAAGACGGACACCAAGAGGGTCTCTGTACCCCGACATTGCCAATTGCCACCGCGAGGCAAGAGGCCAAAAGCCTCTCCAGGATCCGTGCAGATCCTGATCTGCAGCAGGGGCGAGCATGAGCATGCCGTCTTCGTGCGTTTCACCGATATGCCATGAACACTCTGGCACTCTGGTCATTCTGAAACTCTCTCTGCTTCCAGGAGCGGATATCTTTGCGACATGTGCTTCTGGATCCAAGCCTGAAGTCAAGGTTTGCGACACTGAGACTTGTCTTTTGCAGCTCTTTGCGTCGTATGTCTCCCTAGGCATAGTGTCGGATATTGTCGGCCTGGACTCGCGGCCTTTCAGCCGGTTCTTCGTCGCCCTCGTCGTCATCCTCGAAAGGTGTGGCTGATGCCGCTTTCGTTGCCTGCAGACGCGGGAAGAGTGCAGACCTCCAGTCTCTGCCCTGCGATTCGCTCTGAGGGCCTCCTTGGCATCCACGGAGACCTGCCAATGGGCTGGCTTGAAGAGGGCCATCCAATGCTCGCCTTCCTGGAGCTCCGGAATGCAAGGACGGCGAGCGGCTCTCACTCGCACTCTGCTCAGTGCTCGCGTTTCCTTCAGGATGCACGGGCTCTCCAAACCAGTTTTCGGTTCGCCCACCTCCAGGCTGCCAGTGGCCTTGGCTGGAAAAGTCTGCCAGGTTGCCTGTGGCGGGAGCTAGCTTCTCTCTGGCCTCCCGGGTGTTCTCCGCGTCGCGACTCCTCCCCAAGCGCAGGGCTGCGCGCGTCACCTGCCAAAGACACTTGTTCAAGAAGAAAACAGCGAAGCGGCAGCCAAGCTCGCACCCTCTGGCCCTCTGGCCTGGCAGCGCATGTCGTCGTCCAGAAGGCGAGCCTGGAAAAATCGATGTTGCATGCCCACGCCGACGTTTGGTCTTTTCTCCGATTTTCCGAGGAGCTGTGGAATAGGCCCAGCAGAGAGAAAACAAATGAATGGGTTGAAAATCATCCAAGCCTCGGCTTGTGCTTCATTTTGCCGATGCCAGAAGTCTGAATGCAGGTCAAGACACGCCGTATGGATTCGCCACGCAGGGTGTCGAAAAGCTCCAGCACTTCGGGGGGAATGTCAACCTGTCGGATTATGAGCGTTGCAGCTTCAAAGACAAGTGGAAGTCAGCAAATCTGATACTTCACACTGCGTGCACCGCCTGGCCTCCTCTGAACCTCCCGACGGCTCAGAAGCCTCGGCCGGCGCCTGCCATCGGCTGAAGCCGTGTTTCAGCTAGTAGCTGCATCGCTCGGCCCACCTCCGAGACCGAGGCGTAAGCGCTCCGCGCGGCCCTCTGGCTCCAGCTTTGAGAGCTCCGAGGGCCGCGACACCACCCGGTGGAGGCCTCTGGGGCGGCGAGGCATCTCGAAATGGAGAGAGAAAGAGAGATGTATTGTGCAAGGTCTCGTTGACGGATTTTGAGACCATGAACTACGCATGACCTTTCGGGCGGGGCGGGGGACTGCTGCTCTTGTAATGTCCTGGGCCCTAGGCAGCTTCCGTGTCCTGATGCTGCAGTGCTCACTCCTGACAGTGGCGTCGGTCAAGCCATCGCGGCCTTTTGGGTCGATCTTCTCTACGAAACACGTCTACCGTATCGTCGCAACCCATGGACAAGCGAAAACTGCGGCAGTCATGCTTTTTCTTGCAGTGAAACACATGAAGCACTTCGCGCAGATGCGGCCTTCACCTAGGAACAACTTCGGAGACTTGGCGGCTTCGGATGGGCAGTCGGGCCAAAGTGATCTGGCGACGATGCCGCAACTTCCGTGCCATCTTCGAGCATGATGTATCAAAAAAGCAGAGGATCACCAAGAGCAGGAAGAATCCCTCGGTGTGTTCGAACAACAGCTCCACGAGCAGCGCGAGCACTAAAGAGGATTCAAGGTCCTGATAGAGCACTTACAGTATCTTACACTTTCAATGCTGATTCCCTTCCCTTCATGCTGGAACCTAAAATATCGCTGCTATGTTTGGTGCAGGTCCTGGTGCATGTGCCTCTGGATGAGCAGAACTGATCGCACAACTGTAGATATGGCCAACACCATGAGAGCTTTCGAAGCAATCACGAGCACAGCAAACTTCAGGTTGCCATTGTCTAAGCTCCCAGGCATGCTTCGCACGGATTCTAGAGTGCTCTGCCTCGGGAAGCTGGACATCCGCGGCACGAACGAGCTCGGCAATGGTCTCATTGCCACATCAGTCGCACTGACCGCCACGTCTTGGAGGGTGCTGTCCCCGTAGTCCGCTCGGCGGGCGGACGGACTTCGGTGGTCGTAGCAGACGGGGGAGTCTGGCTCAAATTCCACCAAGGTGTTCGCGTCCACTGGCGACTCTGGTGGTGGGGGGGACTCCGGAGATAACGGCACTTCGAGGCCACCGTCAGTCGGGAAAGTATCTAGCCGAGTGTCTGAAGATATACTGGGATCCCTTCTGCGAAAGAACACCCCTGCACTAAGCAACGCTGAAAGCACAAGGAAGTTTACAGCACTGACTGTCAAGTTAAAGCCGCTGGACTCTCCCACTCCAAGAATGCAGCTTTTGTTGATGGTTGGCGTGGGCACCCAGAGACAGCACGGCACAGGTACCAAAATTGCGAGCCACAGTAAATACTTGGCAAGCCTCATCGACCGAAAGTTCTGAAGGCTGCAAAGTGCCATCGATGCTACAAACATGTAGCTTTGTATCTCGCAGTAGGCCATGATCCGGGCAGAATATAAGTCACAAACTGGTAAAGCGATTGCGGTGATCAGGTTGGCTCCGGCATGCAGGAAGCAGGCCAAAGCATAGCACGGCAGCATGACATGTGGAAAATGCCACCATATGGATGTCTTGTCATGAAGTCGAAACAGCAGCAACGATGCTGCCGTCGTGGCAAGAGACACGACAAGTGCCGTGACTTCACTGTTGTAAAGCTCAGTCTCCACGCGTGAACCCTCAACTGTATCACTTTCAAGAAGCACAGCGGAGGCAATGAGCATGGGAATGGCAACCATGATGCCAATTGACACAGCTGCTGCCACTACTTCGATGTGTTGACCAATTCGCATTGCCACGAGCATCGGCGCTGACGAAGTGGGGATGGAACCGTACAGGAAGGCGAAATTGTGCCACTTGTTGTTCTCACTCCCAGGCAGAATGAGTTCGGACGCTGCTAGAGTCACATACGGGCAGATTATGTTTTTGGCTATCACCAAGGCAATGGGAACACCAAGTAGGTACATGCTGCCACCCTCTGTCTTATGTCCTTCCGTCCTGTCAAGAGCAGTTGCTAAGTTTGCACCCGTCAGCATCAGCGCCGTAGTAGAAAAGGGTTTTGTGAAGAAATCAATCAACTCGCTGAGTGGAATTGGGACGATGGAGGATCCTGGGGCGTGTGGTGCAACCAACCTCGCCGCAGCCTTGTAGATCACTGCGAAGGCGATAGCGCACAAGAGAGGGTCCTGTGCCAGCTGTTTCAAGATTCGACCACACTGCCTCCGATTCGAGTGTGCAGGATGCGCAGGGCCAGCAGTGAACGAGGCCTCGCTTTGCCGCTGCTGAGCGGCGCCAACGCCAAGCATTGACAGGCTGCAGACTTGGAAAAACACATTTTGGACAACGACGTTCGCAACCAAATTTGTGACCCCCTTGTCCGGATAGAAGGCCTGGATAATCGGAAAACCGAACACAAAGTCATTGGCTGCGGTCACATGAAAACTGAAAATCGCAGCAGAAATGAGCGCCTTGTCCCGTGACTCCTTACGGCAACCAATCCAACTTGCTCCACAAGCCAGCACATACACAAACAACTTCCCGATAGCGCAGCTCACAATAACTCCCGGCTCCATGTCATCTAGGTCTGCAGTTGCCACTGCCTTAAAGGCAAGTAGTGGGAGACCGATTCGCCCTGTTAGAAAGGCCAGCCCCTGCTTTTCAGTCACCCATCCCAAGCGGAAGGCCAGGAATCCCAAGAGCAAAGCGCTGCCCAACTGAATAATCAAATCAACAGTCTGTACAACGAGGTTCGGCATTTACCCCTGGCTCTCACTTTCGTGAGCCGCTCAAAGAAGAAAAACTGGCGGAAAGCTGAAGAGCCGAAATGTTTCACCCACGAGAAGCGCCAGCGTGACACCATGCTCTGACAGAGAAGCACTGATTACACCGCCTGACCGATTTTACTTGAAGAGCTGGCCGAGGAGACATCGGCTAAGCTATCAGACGTGCCAGCCTTCTGCCACCTCGCCCGGCATCGTGCAGTGCGAAGCAGCCGCAGCATGGCGGCAAAGCTACTGCATCAGGACTGTGATGCCTGCAACTCGTGCCAGCAAGCATACGACGTACATGTAAGGGTGCAAAGGAACCCACGACAGGTGCATGCTGAATCATGTAGGTGGAATGTATCTAGGTTCTGTGTCGTTCGATCCATTGAGCACCAGCTTCGACATGTGGTAAGGCCAAGCACACAGGCGTGGTGTCCACCTGCGATAAGAGTAAGATCTGAACACGAACGAGGCTGCCGCTCAGAGTTCACGACCCTGCTGTGGCGTGGCTTGACAATATCCACTTGCTGGAAAAGTGCCGCAGCCTTTGGAGAAATGGAGGCCGGAAATGGCTAACTGATGCACGATTAAGGACACGCGATGACAAGAGACAGAAAGAAACTGGCACCATCTGGTTTTGCTGGGGCTGGAGCCACATAGAGCAGGCTGCAACTGACCTAAGCATCCAAGAATCCAAGACACAGGTACAATGCTTGTGGTGGAACAACCCTTCCCCAAACTGGCTTCGATTACTAGGGTCAACACATGCGTAAAGGTGTCAAAAAACTTGCAAATGAAGCACCCTCCTGCGAATTGATCATGTGTGATCCAGAAAGCCATCCGAAAGGTGGAACCGTCGGCCTTCTTGCAGAGTTTCGAGTGCAAACCGCACCTTCCGGCAGCTTTTTCTGCTGTGCACCCTCGCTTGGTACCGGTGCAGGGATTATGGTGACGACACATGGTCTGCTGGGTACAGTATCAGAAGCCGACATTGCACCGAATTTCTGCAAACGCCGAGGTCTAGACGATTGCGAATGATTGCGACGGAGCTCTTCAAGCTCCACACACTGCTGGGCATCTGCCCGGTTCGACACGAACTTCCAATACTCAGACCTGCACAAAGTGCGGGTTAGAGTCGGGTAGAGCGGCGAGCGGCTAATAAAGTGCGCAGTCATTGCATGGGTCCCCTCAGACATATCTCAGCAGGTGGCCCAATGGAGTCGAGTCAGTCGAGTACATACATCTGCGGGGACCCCATGACACCGTGTAGTGGTCGACATGACCACTCGTCTGGAAAAATGCCTGAGAAGCTCTCGGGCGTTAAAGTACAAGCCAGTCAAAACTCAAAACTAACGGCCGGCGGCACAAAACCAACATCAGCCGAACCTACAAGTCCCAACAAGTTTGCATCTTGCCTCATCTGCGGCAAATCGCCGAAGCTGCTACGGCTTTCGTGGAGATCAATCACTGTCAGTATGTACATGCCAGCTTCGCCCGGCACTGCAAAGCTCTACAGGCTACCGCATTGCGAAGCCCATGGCGGCCTCACACCAGTTACTGGAGCTGCTGGACAGCATCCTGCAGGGCAGAACTACACGAGGCTCTGACGAACCTCCTTCGATCCCGAAAAGATTGCGGAAACATTCCCTACTCGAGAAACCTCATCACTACGCCTGACTTGGCCACTAGGCCACCAGCGGTCCCTCGGCGACCCGTTGCCCATATGTAGGCTTGCGAATGTACCCCCGAAATGTGATGAAAAGCCTTTTCGGAAGTTCGGGGCGAAAGCCGCAAGGATTATTCGTCCCGCCAAGCTGTGATTCAGAGGTGCGAGCCGAGTAAAAACACAGCTGTGGTGCGTGAGACGTCAACCTCGAGCCTCGAACCCTGGCATCTGTCCCTGTTCGCAATGCCAACCCCAAAAGCAAAGCTGCACTGCACAAGGATCGCCTTCGTTTTCACCCAGGCCCTGAAGATCAAGGAAACGGCCGCACCCCGCGGCCTGGGTCTGTGCTGCCACCTCCGCCAGCACCGGGGTCTGCGCTGCCACTTCCGCCAGCACCGGGGTCGGTGGCTGGGGCGTCTTCAGCGTCAGCTGCTCAATGGCATCCTCCAAGCAGAACGCCGAACAACACGAACAGCTTGATGCAACCATGGGATTCGGAGCAACGGGGCAACGAGCCAGTCCTTTCCAGAAACCACCTCTCCGGCAATGATGCCCACGATGGCAAACCTCGAGATCAGCTCAAGAATGCAACACACCAGCTGACTCTGTCACGCTACGATTCCCCTTTCGCCAATAAGGGCATCTCGTCTGGCCAAGCGTCATGGCAAATCGGCCGTTGTTCAGCTCTCGCTCACGCATGGTCTTGCTGTAAGAGCCTCTTGGCGGAGGCAAGGCTGTGGCAACGGCAGACGGTGCAGTGGTTCACTTCTGCAGCGCCTGCTCCGAGGCCGGTCTGCGACCATCCCGCCGGGTCGCCGAAGTTTCCGGGCTCTTTGGCATCATCCTGCAGCAAGCCGTGAAATGAGTGGTCAGAAAGGCCTCAGGCCAAAGAGATGCAGGGCCTGTTTCCAGACCTTTGTCTCCACGTAGCCACAAGCAGCGAAAAGCACACCAGCAGCCAACAGACCTCTGCCGTCTGCCGTTGGCTTCAGGATGCTTCCGGACTCACTCGAGCGGCTCTAGCGCATGCAACAATGGAGTTGAGCTGCCTTTGGTCGTCTGAAGGGCCGTCACCCCGGAGGGCACGTCCTTCAAGAAGGGCAGCTTGACCTTGCAGCGGCGCAATGCTTCGAGCATTCGACGCGCAGGTTTATGCTATTCAATATGAGGTCGCCAGGCCACGTAATGCTGGACGACTGCGCCTGCAGCTGCCATCATGGCAACGCCTCAGACATCCCTTCCACTCCATCCAGTCCGTGACACCATGAGAAACGGCAAGAGGGAACTGGGGGAAAGGATGAGAAACTGCCAAAGCATGGACCGAAACCTTGAGTTTCAGACCATCAGACAGATCGCCGAACATTCAGTTTTTCACGCGCAGTCTCACACCCCCCACTCTACTTCACCCCATGCGACTTGGGACTCTGATTTGACGGCTGAAGGACGGCCGTGCTTGATCTCTGCCGTGCGGAACTTTCGGAACTTCTCCTCCTTGGCTGAGCCGGTTGAATAACTTCTGGCTGTCTGGGCGGTGTAGCAACCAGCGCCTGATGGGGTGCCAACAAGGATCGTCCTCGGCCAGGTCCAGGGGGTCAAAGAACTCAAGCGGCTGGGTGGCACCAATCTCCTGCCCCAAGTGCACGCAACGAGGAAGGTCATGCGCGGAGCAAGATGACATCCTACGGATCGTACAATAGTGCAGCTCCTTGGCCGGAGACCACGGTTCCTCGCGAGAGCAAGGCAAGCGCGTCACTTCACGACTCAACAACTACTAGCCCCTGCCAGGAACATCAATCATCAGGCGGGAGGTCCACCGGCTGCTTGAAGAATCCTTGCGCCGCTTCGGCGGCAGCTGCAACGAGACCTGAAAAGTGTTGAAGCCTACTCCCCACGCCTTGGCATACGCCGAGCTACTCGGACAGTGAAAGGAAAAGACTCGGATCAATCAGCAAAGTCCGTGACCCGTCCCCATGCCAGCGAGCAAAACGCGTGAGTAGGTATGGTGATGAAGTAGCACCGAACAAGACAGGATTTTGAAGTCTGTATGGCTGGCCATGCCTGCAACACCACCGAAAAGGGCTGCAAGCAGTGCATCGCTGCCAGACTTGCTCTCGGACTGACCTGCCGTGCATCAGCTGCATACACTCTTGGTCGCATTACAGCAGACTGGACTCTCGTGGAACTCTGCGAATCGTCGACTACCGCCAAATTGAAAGACAGCACCGTGGTGATTCGGGCATACTAGCGACGAAGGAAGCTCGATCTCGAGGTGCGGGCACAGGCCGACTCATCTACACATCTGCAGAATGAAGCCCATCGGCTGGCGGCAGCTTCTGTCGGCTTGGCGGGCGCATCCAACTTTATGCTCACTCCGCTGGATCGCGCCTCTGCCAAGGGCCAAGCGCATGTGCAGATTACAAGGTATGAGGGTGCCGACCAGACGCTCCATTCCAAGGCACCTGGACATCTGTCTCACCTCCTCGTGCAGTTCGAGCAATCTGCGAGAATGCAGTGGATGCCTCACAGGCGACAATTTGTCCTCACGCATCAAAACAAGACACGTCGCCCCGTCATCATCATCGTCAGCTGACCAACGCTGAGGCCGAAGCGGCAGCTGCTGCCAGCGCAGCTACAAGCGCGTAGCCTCAGGTGTGCTACGATTATCACGTGGTGCAGAGATGCAGCTCGACAGAGAGAGAGGCCAAGAGCATGTACTGCAATGAGCCCTGTCTTGAGCACATGGGAGGCAAACTCCAGTTGCGTTCAAGGCGCCCAGAACCGAGCGCATGGCGTCTGTCTGGAGAGCTAGCTACAGCCGTGAACTGGCTTGAAAGCAAATGCTTCAAGAAAACGGTGTCCAAGCTCTCAATGCAGCCCTTCCATGCTGCAGCACCGCGCGCCCTGCCCGTGCTTCATTCCATTCATTCGTCGAGTGCTTAACAGAAAAGGAACGTCTACACCACGTCCTTTCGCAAATCAGAAGCAGGCAGCTGGGAGTGAGAGCTACCAGCCTCGGCCAGTAGGATGCTGCCAGAGACGATCTCCTCAGAATGTGTGGCCAGAGGGACGACCGTCTTCAGTCTGGGGGAGTATGGGGTCCTGGTAGTTCTCCATGTGTTCACCGTTGCTTCCTTCGGACCAACAGTTCACACAGCCCGCAGCAAGCAGCCACTCTTCACAGCTAGACCGTTCTCGTCTTCTCGGACGCCTTTGTTGACCAAGAAGCCTCCATCTGCCATCACCTGATTGGATCAGCCGCTGCGCTGGACCCAGACACCGCATCACGAAATGAGGCACACAGACGCAGGGACACGCGTTTCATGTGCCGTGCCCTCGCGTGACAAGGACTGCAAGAGACAGGCAGCCGTTTGATGATGTGAGAAATTCCACCTCCCAGCAGCTGTTTCTTGCTCCCAAGGTTGTTGTTCTGTGTTGTTCTGCTGTGCTGGTACCTGCTCTAGTTTCCGAAATGGTTCCTCTTTTTTCCTGGCCTCCCGTCCATTTGCCGTTGCTAGCAGCCATTACTAATCACTTTCTCTGCTGAGAGCGTGTCTCCCCCACAAGCCGATCTGAGCCTGGGACCACATCTGCTGCTCGTCCAACTTCGGCAGCAGCGTGAGCCACGTTTGAGGGCAGGCAGACCTCAGACGTCTCAGCCCTCAGCCAAAATGGAGACAGAGACCGTCTTTTGGAAGGGATCCGACATTTCCGCTCCCGTCAGCTCCCCATAGCTCCACAAAGTTCTCGCCTTGGGAAGCAGGCACCAGTCCACTCTAGCCCCTAGCCGCCCTAGCCGTCTCCAGGGTGGGACAGCTCCACATCCAATCGCGCAGCTTGAGCACCGAACGCTTCACCAAGTCCTGCGGCCATGAAGAAACAGAACTGCGAGCGCATCTCCACCACAAAGAAGGAAGGTACGAGGCGGTCAAAGGGCTTCTTTGGACGACCCATACCTGATATCAGTGGACTGTCCGCCTGCCGAAGACGGCCTCTCCGACTCTTGCAAACTCTTTCCTCACCCAAGACTTCTAGCTACAGCTTTCTGGCTCAGTGAAGTCTCGGCGGCGAGGCGACATGAAAAAGACGCGGCTTGAAAGCACAAGCAGTGCGCCGATTCGCTGTGCTCTTCGGTCTGCTCCAATAGCTTTTGCATGCTTTGGCCACCAGCGGGTTCAGCCTGGGAGGGCCCTTGGCAGGACATCTCCGGGCCCTGCGGCCACTGGCTGAATTGTCTCCCGGCTCGGCCGTTCTGGGACGCTTCCTGTGCGCACGTCGCTCGCCTCAGAGGTTTTGGAGCTTCGATATCTCCGCCTTCAGCAGCCCTTGCAGGGCGGTGTCTCCTGGTTCCCCAAGTACCCAAAACTCGGTGGCAACCGCCCGCTGCTCCAAGCGATCTACGACCACACTGCACCACCCCAGTTCGGCTGCAAGTGCCCCGATCCTGATCTGTTTACAATCTCAGCTGCGGTTTGTCACATGTCTTGGCTTGGGGCTAGGATTAGCTTGGGGCTGAACAAAGTGTCCCAAATCACCGAGGGTCAGCAACCGCAGCGGCTGCCATTGTTCCGGCTGCTTGTTCGAGCGCAGGTGTGCAAGGGTCACAGCGAGCACCGCTCCGCTTTCCAGCTGGCCACTGCGAAACAAGGCTTTCAAATCCTGGCCGGGGCTGGATCTATACGGGGCTGCAGCAAGAGTATTGTCAAGCTCCTCGAGCTCTTGTGGTGGCTTCCAACTTCCATACAAGCACTCCGTGAAGTCGCAATACACGCAACTGAAGGGACCATAGCCGCGGTCTTTCTTTGAGTTCTGCATGATGAAGTCTTGAAGGCATAAGCCTTGCAGCACAGTCGCCTTGCTCAAGCAGTTGCTGCCGAAGGGCGCATCACTGTCGTTCGGTACGATGATGCGGCTGGCACGAAATCCCACACCACGAAGGGCACTGCTGGAGGCCAGTGAGGCAGCATCCAGCACAAGAGCCCACGGGTCCCTTTTTGAGGCGCAAAGTGATTGTGCCAGTTCGGCCAAGCGCGTGTTTGCCGCCTTCTTCGAAGGTGAGCGGGCCTTCGTGGACCATTGGAATGTCTCCATGCGGGATGCAAAACAACGCATCGAAGAAAGGGCACAGCGAGTCATGTCTGCTACTCGGTAGCGCGAAAGACTGCAGCGTCACCAGGTCATGCCAGAGACTTGAAAGGAACTAAACATGCTGGAATTTCAGCATCTGTGATTGAATCTATGCGGGTCAGGGGCAGCCTTCCAAGTCCATCCTTTCCGTTCCCTTGCAATCCCCTCGGCTAATAGGGATTATAGTAGATAGTATGGTTTCCTTGGTAACTTAAACTAAATCCCTTAACAAGAGCCCAGAACCAACCCCCCTTGGTCCTCGGGGAACCATATTAAACGAATATTGTAACCCTAAATCCAAACCCCTGTTTGTTGTCGGGGAACCCGATTATTTGCTATAGATCCCTTTTAAGATTATTCGAGTAACTTCAATAAAATAGATCCCTAGTCAGGAAACCCTATCATCCCCAGCTGTCCTCGGGGAACCAGGTGCAGCTCAAGGCGTTGGTGCCTTCGCGGAGGCTGAAGCCGAAGCCGCGGACGGCACACTCGGCCTCGGCACCTGGTGCGGGGCTTTGCTATAAGTACAATGATTAGAATACATAAAACCGTTACAATATTCAAAAGAGCTAAAAAGATTCAGATGACTGCGTAAGACGGTGTGACGGTCGCATGGCGAGGCCCGGACCCAGCTTGAAGAAGTACTTGGACCATGCACCAGGCGCACCGCAAACATCTGCGAACACCAGCTGGCCCTGAGAATCACAAGAAAGCCCCAGCTAAAGGCTAAGACTCATGCAGGCTCGGCTCGCCTTGGCCTTGCATCGATTCAGCACCTGCGAAATAAAACCCTCCCCCCACCACCGCATACCACTGCTGACGTCATCGGCCTCCTTCAGCCTCCCAACTGCAGTGACGATCTCCTGGAGCATTGCAGGTGATCCCATCGTATACTGCAGTCTACAGACGTAAGCTTCCTCGATTTTGTCCCCGGATCTGTTGCCCAAGGGCTGACGGTCAGAGCCCCGATGGCCGGCCTTGTTCAGAAGTGAAGCCGACGGAGCTCTGATCTTATGAACGAGCCCGGCCTCAGGATAGATCTCATCACGAGCCATCCAGTAGGCCTGACCAGGCCCAGCCATGGGACCATCTTGGAGCGTCTGAAAGCAACAAAAAGCGAAGCAGACCTCTCTGTGACCTCCGTCGAAGAGAGCGTCCATGCGTGACTTTTGCTTCCACAGCCTTACGGAACACGGACCAGCAGGACAGAGCTCAAACACTGCAGGGATGAGGGCTGGAGTCGGCACAGTCCGCCAAGCAGCATCTCCACCTCCTCGCGCGCGCAGTATCCGGCGTCGGACCTGACAGTGCAACATAAACGAAGCCGTGGCGCTGCAAAGACGGAGACTTATGGGTCTGGGTGCCATCAAGGGACATGCGCCCGGGGTCCTCCATCCGGCCAAGCGTGACCACAGGTTCCTCTAGTAGTCATAACTTACAACAAAAAACGAAGTGGACGCACCACATGCATGTCCTCGATCTCGTCTGCCGCAGCACCGGCTGAATGAAAAGGAACGGCAGCCAGACTGAAAACCTTGGCGGCAATCCTCTCAAACACTCCACGGCAGATTCAGGCTCCCTTGTTGCCGTGCAACATGTGGCTCTTCAAGGAGGCAGCAAATTAGAACCCGCTCGAGTTTCATTATGACCCTCAGAACCTGGATCTCGTCGAGTCTAGCAGGCTTTGCACTTCTGTCCGCCTTTTGCCTTGAGCTAAAGCTACAAAGCCCATCTCTGGCTGAGGGCCCAGCCAACGTCTGCTCCCGTGGCCGCTGCCCCCCACATGCCTTCACAATCGGGCCATAAATTAATGTGGGAATGTATTTGTTATTTTTTTGGATTTTGTTTTTTTTGCGGTGTGCTTGGCCTAAAGCATAGGCAAACAGCATGTTTTCCTGCGTTTTACAAAGGAAAACACTATTTTCCGTACATTTTGGACGGAATCCTGTGTTTTTCTCTAGGAAAGACACTACTTTCCTACGGATTCTGTATTCTTTCCTTCGGTTTTGCTTGGTAGTTCCTCGGGAAAACACTATATTCCTACGGATTCTGGCTCATGTTCTGAGGTTTTGCGTTCTTGAAAACAAGCCTGCGCGGCTTAAAAAGAAAGCGGGGGGGGGGGCTACGTAGCCCCCCCCCCATTTGCAAACACAACGTCTTTATGGCGGGTTCCTGAGAGGGTCCGTATGGGTTCTGTAATTTCTGGCAAGATGATACCTGAAGCGATATAAAACGGGGACGCACCTCCCCAATTGGAAACAGAATGCTTGTATGATGAGTTTTGGAAAGCTCTAAAACAATTGTGTGCTTGGTGCAAGTCTTGTTCATGGTGTGATGTTCTTGAAAGCAAGCCTGCGCGGCTCCAAAAGAAAGCGCGGGGTTGGGGGGGCGCAGCCCCCCCCATTTGCAAACACAACGTCTTTATGACGGGTTCTGAAAAGGTCCATATGGGTTCTGTCTTTGCTGGCAGGCAGGATGATGCTCGAAGCGACTTTGCTCAGTTCAATAACATGTAAATATAAATATACGTTAACATGACATAACATAATGTAGTATAACATAATATTATATATTTAAATAGATCATATAATATAATATAACATGACAAAATAGAGTAAAATATATAGAAATACATATTAATAAAATGTGATATGTTATACTATGATGCATTGTAATATACTCCAATATAGTATAACTGAGTTTATTATGGCAAAATATAATACAGCAAAAATGTGACACATTATGATCTAGTATGATATAATATAACAGTATAATATGATAGAATATACAACAATATACTAGAATATGATACACTTTACTCTATCTATATATATATATATATGTAATTTAATATAACATAGTGTATTATGATACACGAAGCTATAAGAAGTTTTAAAGGCCAAGAATCCGAGTGGCCGGAAAACCAAGAAGCCACCTCTGCTCACCCTTGCTTCGAAAGGTATATTTGTAACTTCTATACTTACTATACATCCTGAAAACTGGGCCAGAGGACCAGGGGCTGCACCGGACCAGGGGACCAAGAAGACGGGACCAGAAGACCACGGGACCAGAGGACCAAGGGGACAGGAAAAAAAAAGGTAGCAAAAAAAAAAAGGGAGTGAAGAAATACGCCCTCCGTTAAAAAGACGAGAGGCCGAAAAGCCAAGAAGCCTAGGAAACCAAGATGCCAGGAAGCTATACAAGACTAGAAGGCAGTATGCTCCGAAAGCCAAGACGCCAAGGAAACCAAGAAGCCAAGGAAACCAGAAAGCCAGCAAGCCGTGCAAAACGAGAAGGCAGTATGCTCCAAGTTACGATACTAGAAGAAGTCGAGGGAGCATCGAAAAGCCAAGAAGCCACGGAAACCAAGAAGCCAGGCACGACAGGAAGGCAGGAGAACCGCACGTGCCCGCACACAGACCAAAAAAAACATACCAAAACAAAAAAGAATAATTCCCAAAATAAATGCGCCTCCTTCGCAATCTGTCTCCAAACTTGCTGCTTCTCGAAACCCGGCCCTGACATTTATCGACCTGCCTGATCGCCACTTGCTGCTGCGGCCATGCAGCAGCCCCCTAATAATGACGCAAGTCGTTTGGCCATGAGGTGCTTGGCTCGTCTTGAAGCAGCCATGAATATAGGCTTTCACATGCTTTTGCTGCGTGCAAAGCTATGATTGTGATTACTTTGCGCATGGCTCCGGCCTGCACTCTTTGCAGGCCTGCGGGGCGTCCGTTTACGACAGTGAATACATGCAGGGACAAGCTCAAGCAGCGCACCTCATCACAACTTGATTCGTTACAGCAAGATATGTGCCCATGGTGGCACTGAAGCCCGCGAGCCCCTGCACGCCGGCGGCGCCCCTTTTGCTGCGTGGAGCGCTGGTGGTTTCGGCGCCGTGTTGCGAGCAGGCTTTCAAACCCTGGCCTCCCTCTCACTCGTCAGACTCGTCCTCGGACTCTGCGGCGGCCGAAACCGCCGCACCGGCGGGGACGTCCACAGTTTGCTCAGGATCCAACTTCTCATCAGACGGATCTTCATCTGACTGAGGCGACAAGTCCTCGTCCACCCCGTCCTCTTGCACTTCGGTCTCGTCGGAGAGCATCTCCTCCCCTTCCGGCTCAGTGCCCGTATCTGAGACCTCCTCGGCCTCAGTCTCTGCCCTCTCCTCTGCTTGCGTCGTGTTGCCCTTCGTCAGAGCCTCCTGTGCGTGGCTGGCCTTGCTCACGGCCTGCACAGGACTTCCCGAGTTTTCGTTCAGCACCAGGGTGGAGCCAAGGTTCAGGACCGCAACCACAAGGAGGGTACGCAACATGGTAGCCTACCTAGGCCTAGACCGCAGCGGCCGTGCTTCGTTCTGCGAGAGCCCGCGCTGAAACCCGCCGTGCTGCAAGTGAGGGTGCCCAAGGCCGAGACCAGCAGCTTGCTTCACAGGCATGCTGCATGTTTTTTTACTGTCTGCTGTCTGCATGTGTTTCGAAGTGACAGATGGGCGACCTTGCCAAGGGCAAGTCAAAGCTCATTGCGTAGCTCGCACAAACGGATGCCCCGGACTGATAAACACAAAGCCGGGACCGTCTGGGCCAACGCCCAGACTCGATCCAAGGGCATGTTATCAGCACGAGCATTCGGAAGTATCCGACGAGCAAAGCAAGGAATGACTGTCAGCGCTTGGAACTTCTGCGGCCACCCACTCCGACAGGCACATCCATGTTGGTCATGGCGTACGGTACTGCAAAGTGGATCCGGCAAATCTGTGGAAACGTGGATGCACAGCTGGCGGCTCGAACAAAAACCGCAGAGACCATTGGATGATGGTGTCACAGTGTTCCAAGCGTTTGCTTGCTCATTTGGCGATGCTGCTGCGGCTTTGAGTGCAAAGCTTGGGTGGCTTTACCTACATCTTCGGGGACTCCGTGACACCATGTAGTGGTTGACATGACCACTTGTCTGGAAAATTGCCTGAGAAGCCGAGCTGTGGGAGCGTTCCAGCTCTCGGGCTTTAAAGTACAAGCCAGTCAAAACTCAAAACTAACGGCCGGCGGCACAAAACCAACATCAGCCGAACCTACAAGTCGCTACAAGTTTGCATCTTGTCTCCTCTGCAGCAAATCGCCGAAGCTGCTACGGCTTTCGTGGAGATCAATCACTGTCAGTATGTACATGCCAGCTTCGCCCGGCACTGCAAAGCTCTACAGGCTACCTCACACCAGTTACTGGAGCTGCTGGACAGCATCCTGTGCACGAGGTTCTTACGAATCTCCTTAGAGCTCAGACATTAAACAAAACTGTTGATGGCGGCCTTCCGCAGCGGCCAAAACCCTATCACAATCTCTCAGTGAGCCCTTGCCCCTCCCCCAAGAAGGAAAAGCTCCCGGACCATTTCAAGATCAAGAAGAGCGTTACGCGAACCTTCCCGTTCAAACAGTGCTGCCGCCCCACGGCACGAGGGTGCAGGCTTGCGGGCAGGATGATGGACGGCCAAGCTGGGAGTCGGGGAGGTCATCTTGAGGCTAGAGGATCAATGGCCCGTTAAGGCATCGGTCCCTTTCTTTTACAATGCCAACCCAAGACGCTCTCGGCGCAAACCTGCACAAGGATCGCCTTCGTTTTCACCCAGGCCCTGAAGATCAAGGAAACGGCCGCACCCCGCGGCCTGGGTCTGTGCTGCCACCTCCGCCAGCACCGGGGTCTGCGCTGCCACTTCCGCCAGCACCGGGGTCGGTGGCTGGGGCGTCTTCAGCGTCAGCTGCTCAATGGCATCCTCCAAGCAGAACGCCGAACAACACGAACAGCTTGATGCAACCATGGGATTCGGAGCAACGGGGCAACGAGCCAGTCCTTTCCAGAAACCACCTCTCCGGCAATGATGCCCACGATGGCAAACCTCGAGATCAGCTCAAGAATGCAACACACCGGCTGACTCTGTCACGCTACGACTACGATTCCCCTTTCTCTCCGATAGGAGCATCTCGTCTGGCCAAGCGTCATGGCAAATCGGCCGTTGTTCAGCTCTCGCTCGCGCATGGTCTTGCTGTAAGAGCCTCTTGGCGGAGGCAAGGCTGTGGCAACGGCAGACGGTGCAGTGGTTCACTTCTGCAGCGCCTGCTCCGAGGCCGGTCTGCGACCATCCCGCCGGGTCGCCGAAGTTTCCGGGCTCTTTGGCATCATCCTGCAGCAAGCCGTGAAATGAGTGGTCAGAAAGGCCTCAGGCCAAAGAGATGCAGGGCCTGTTTCCAGACCTTTGTCTCCACGTAACCACAGGCAGCGAAAAGCACGCCAGCAGCCAACAGACCTCTGCCGTCTGCCGTTGGCTTCAGGATGCTTCCGGACTCACTCGAGCGCATGCAACAATGGAGTTGAGCTGCCTTTGGTCGTCTGAAGGGCCGTCACCCCGGAGGGCACGTCCTTCAAGAAGGGCAGCTTGACCTTGCAGCGGCGCAATGCTTCGAGCATTCGACGCGCAGGTTTATGCTATTCAATATGAGGTCGCCAGGCCACGTAATGCTGGACGACTGCGCCTGCAGCTGCCATCATGGCAACGCCTCAGACATCCCTTCCACTCCATCCAGTCCGTGACACCATGAGAAACGGCAAGAGGGAACTGGGGGAAAGGATGAGAAACTGCCAAAGCATGGACCGAAACCTTGAGTTTCAGACCATCAGACAGATCGCCGAACATTCAGTTTTTCACGCGCAGTCTCACACCCCCCACTCTACTTCACCCCATGCGACTTGGGACTCTGATTTGACGGCTGAAGGACGGCCGTGCTTGATCTCTGCCGTGCGGAACTTTCGGAACTTCTCCTCCTTGGCTGAGCCGGTTGAATAACTTCTGGCTGTCTGGGCGGTGTAGCAACCAGCGCCTGATGGGGTGCCAACAAGGATCGTCCTCGGCCAGGTCCAGGGGGTCAAAGAACTCAAGCGGCTGGGTGGCACCAATCTCCTGCCCCAAGTGCACGCAACGAGGAAGGTCATGCGCGGAGCAAGATGACATCCTACGGATCGTACAATAGTGCAGCTCCTTGGCCGGAGACCACGGTTCCTCGCGAGAGCAAGGCAAGCGCGTCACTTCACGACTCAACAACTACCAGCCCCTGCCAGGAACATCAATCATCAGGCGGGAGGTCCACCGGCTGCTTGAAGAATCCTTGCGCCGCTTCGGCGGCAGCTGCAACGAGACCTGAAAAGTGTTGAAGCCTACTCCCCACGCCTTGGCATACGCCGAGCTACTCGGACAGTGAAAGGAAAAGACTCGGATCAATCAGCAAAGTCCGTGACCCGTCCCCATGCCAGCGAGCAAAACGCGTGAGTAGGTATGGTGATGAAGTAGCACCGAACAGGACAGGATTTTGAAGTCTGTATGGCTGGCCATGCCTGCAACACCACCGAAAAGGGCCGCAAGCAGGGCATCGCTGCCAGACTTGCTCTCGGACTGACCTGCCGTGCATCAGCTGCATACACTCTTGGTCACATTACAGCAAACTGGACTCTCGTGGAACCCTGCGAATCGTCGACTACCGCCAAATTGAAAGACAGCACCGTGGCGATTCGGGCATACTAGCGACGAAGCTCGATCTCGAGGTGCGGGCACAGGCCGACTCATCTACACATCTGCAGAATGCAGCCCGTCGGCTGGCGGCAGCTTCTGTCCGCTTGGCTGGCGCATCCAACTTTATGCTCACTCCGCTGGATCGCGCCTCTGCCAAGGGCCAAGGGCATGTGCAGAGTGCAAGCCACGAGGGTACCGACCAGACGCTGATTACCGCTAATTCCAAGGCACCTGGACATCTGTCTCACCTCCTCGTGCAGTTCGAGCAATCTGCGAGAATGCAGTGGATGCCTCACAGGCGACAATTTGTCCTCACGCATCAAAACAAGACACGTCGCCCCGTCATCATCATCGTCAGCTGACCAACGCTGAGGCCAAAGCGGCGGCTGCTGCCAGCGCAGCTACAAGCGCGTAGCCTCAGGTGTGCTATGATTATCATGTGGTGCAGAGATGCAGCTCGACAGTGATTCCGGACATAGGGAGGCCAAGAGCATGTACTGCAATGCGCCCTGTCTTGAGCACATGGGAAGCAAACTGCACTTGCATTCAAGGCGCCCAGAACCGAGCGCATTGCGTCTGTCTGGAGAGCTAGCTACAGCCGTGAACTGGCTTGAAAGCAAATGCTTAAAAAAAAAAGTGTCCACACTCTCAACGCATCCGCATCCCCTCCACGCCTCAGAATCCTGCGAGGCGTCCGCGGTCCGCGGCCAGCATTTTCGAACTAGAACAAGACTGAACTCAAGTTTAAGCTTGTGACGGCTTGTGAGCGGGCCAATACTCAATATCGTGTCATCTCCAGACTCAAGACCACTTAGACTCAGATCCTTGCTCTATGAGCGCCTGGCAGCGCCCGGGATTTGCCGAGAGATGAAATTGAGAATATGACGGGTGGAAACTTCGCAGCTGAGGCTGAGACCCATGCTGCACCGGATTGCCCCATTCTGTACGGACAACGCACGATTCGCAGAGAGCCGATGGTTGCAAGATTCGGAGGTTCTGCGCGGCCGGCAAAGGTACGGACACCTCCACCACCACCACCACAACAACAACAACCACAACGACAACCACGACAACAACGGAAACGACAACCTCGACGACGACGACGACAACGACCACAACAACAACCACGACAACAACGAAAACGACAACCTCGACAACGACGACGACGACGACGACGACGACGACAACGACCACAACAACAACCACGACAACAACGAAAACGACAACCTCGACGACGACGACGACAACGACCACAACAACAACAACAACCACAACGACCACAACGACCACAACCGACAACCAACAACCAACCACCAACAACCAACAACCAACAGCAACAACCACGACAACCACAACCACAACCGACAACAACAACAAACACAATAAACAACAATCAACAGAAACAAGCTAGCGACAAGCAACCAGCAACAAGAAACAGCCAACAACCAACAACAACCAACAACAACCAACAACAACCAACAACAACAACAACAAGAACAACAAGAACAACAACAACAACAACAACAACAACAACAACAACAACAACAACAACAACAACAACAACAACAACAACAACAACAACAACAACAACAACAACAACAACAACAACAACAACAACAACAAACAACAACAACAACAACAACAACAACAACAACAACAACACAACAACAACAACAACAACATTTCATTCACACGCAGCGGGAGGATACTGTCGGAGGTGAAACTTAACGTCCACGCTTTGCGAGGGATCGACCTGCTGCTCTGCTTGCTACTTGCGCGGTCACTTCATGACGAGCCGTGCCTTAACACAGCACTCGCACACGCTCCGCCCCTCAAGGCTGCAAGCAATGAAGTCGGAATCGGACGTGTCGTCAGTGACTCGAGCTGCAGACTCTGGCACTAATGAAGTAGTTAACCGGCTGATTTGCAATGTATCGCTGACTGATTGGCGACGTCCATTTTGCACACTGCTGTCTCGCGAGAGTGTCTAGCCTCGCTGTGAAGGCTCGGTACGAACCACTAGCTCTATGTTATAGTAGAGGCGGTGAGGCAATGAAACACTCAGTAAAGGCAGGCCAGGCGCCATTTCCAGCCCGTTGTTGCTATTTGTAGATGGCGGAGCAACTCCTGCCGGACTTGTGCTGGTGACATGAAGCTCTCCTGTCCCTGGATGGGAGATCGTTGAGGTCACAGCCTTTGGCGGTGGTCCCAGGGGAGAAACTCCTCCCGGGACTCCACCTTTCGCTGGCACTCCTGGTGCCTTACCTGGTCCCGGTGTCCGATCTGTGCTAGATCCACTTCCTGACAGGTTAACAGGCATCGGAGGCGGCGGGCCCTTAGGCCCAGCTGCTTTGGGGGCTGCTTTAGGGGCTGCTGTGTCTTCGGAGTCGGACTCCCGAATGGAGTCACTGGCTGGCGGCGACCTGGATAGGTGGGGCCGACGTCGCACTGGAGGAGGGGTTCGGGAGGTCGCTCTGTTGCCATTCTTCTTCGGTGTTTCAGGCATGGCTTCTACAGTCGAAACAGCTGGTGAGTTGAGCCTGTACGAGAAGGCAAGTAGAGCTTCCAGAACTTTTGGCTGACAACTCACTTGCAGATCCGGGCTCACGACTTCGCACGGAGCCTCACATGCGACCTCGGGGTATACTTGCTGTCTGATGATGAAATTGAAGTGACCTTCAGCCTGATAACACAGATTTTTGCGTGAGCAGCTGCATTGTCAGTGTGGGGAGGGACTCCACCGTTAGGTGAGGGTCCTCACGATCAGAGCGGCCTGTTGTCGCCTCCGTACTTAGTACCTGATTTCAGGCTCTGGTAGTACTCTATGACAGAAGGGGGCACTTCAGAGGGGGTGAGAATGACGCCGTTCTTGCTACGGAAAAATTGCACCCCTTCCTGCATGGCTCTGCGTGGATCGACCGCCACCAGCATCGACGAGCTATCTCTGAATCCAGAAACACCAGGTCTCCCATAGTCCCGATCCGAGACGAAGTGAACATGCTGTCGTCCCTCTCTACCGCGTCCACCTTTGCCGCGACCCTTGGAAATCTTGTTCTGAGGCAGAAGGCCTCGTTGGCGTATGGAGTCATACAAGGACCAGAATGTGCCATGATACAGCATTCTGGGGAGCATCTCCTCCGTGAGTTCCTCCAACACCTCATTGGAGTCCACATCAGAGCGAGAATGTCCTTGCAGAGCCCTGATGTACTTCTGGCCTTGGCAATCGCCCAGCTCGTACCTGCCTTTTGCGTTACTCCGAACGACCTCCATGAGGTCGCCTGCCGTGGCGTGCTGGGCCTGCACTCTTGGCCATCTCAGGACGTCCTCTAATTTGGCCCAACCAGCTGAAGTGACGCTGATGTAGGGTTTATGTCCGTGCCGGAGCGAAGCTGCTAGAGCCTTCGAGACTTCGAACGAGAAGCTGGTCTCCGGCTTCGTAGAGGCAGTGCAATAGTCCCCTAGATCGCCTGGTTGGCCCTCCCAGGCCACTATAGTGGAGCTACGTGGCGTTGTTGAGCTGTGGTCAATCTCTGACGCCATGGTCGGGGGAGAAACTCCACCCTGTGAGCTGGACGCCTGCTCACAAACCGGAAGGGGAGCAACTCCTCCTTCCTTGACTCCACTTGACGAGGCTTCGCCAGGCAGCTCGTATCCCAACGCCAAAAAGGATTCCCGTGCTTGTCTCAGTGGTATCTCCAACAAGCCACTCCAATCTCGGAGGTACTCACCTAAGGTGAGTGTCTCCTTGGTTGATATTTGCAGTAGCAGCGCTCGGATTTTGACTGCATCATAGGAGTATATCAGTTGGTTTGTTTTCTTACCCTTTTTTTGCGATCCAGAGTGCGCAGCCTCCACCTCAAACATGGGCCGCACGAATATGTGCCGAGGTCCTATCCTCACCAGACAACTGTAACCGGCAGCAAGATGCCTGTTTGACATCCTGTGAAGATACACGCCTGGTCGTGCCTCGAAGCTTCGCGTGCCG